GACTTAAATGTAAGACCAGATACTATAAAACTCCCAGAGGAAAACACAGGCAGAACCCTCTTTGACATAAATCTCAGCAATACTTTTTTGGATCCATCCCCTAGAGTAATGGAAACAAAAGCAAAAATAAACAAGTGGGACTTAATTAAACTTAAAAGCTTTTACACAACAAAGGAAACCATAAACAAAATGAAAGACAACCTATATAGAATGAGAGAAAATATTTGCATACGACGTGACAAAAGCTCAATTTCCAAAATACACCAACAGCTTATACAGCTCAGTATCAAATGAGCCAATCAAAAAATGGCAGAAAACCTAAAAAGACATTTTTCCAAAGGAAACATACAGATGGCCAACAGGCACATGAAAGGATGCTCAGCATTACTAATTATTAGAGAAATCCAAATCAAAACTACAATAAGGCATTACCTCACACTGGTCAGAATGGCTATCATCAAAAAGTCTACAAATAATAGATGCCAGAGAGGGTGTAGAGAAAAGGGGACCCTCCTGCACTGTTGGTGGGAATGTAAACTGGTACAGCCACTATAAAGAATAGTACGGAGATTCATTTAAAAAACTAAACACAGAGTTACCATATGATCCTGCAAGCCAACTCCTGGACATACATCTGGAAAAGGCAAAAACTCTAATTTGAAAAGATACATGCACCCGAATGTTCACAGAAGCACTATTTACAACAGCCAAGACATGGAAGCAACCTAAATGTCTATCAAGTTTGGATGGGTAAAGAAAATGTGGTATATATACACAAGGAACTATTACTCAGCCATAAAAAATAAATAAATAATGCCATTTGCAGCAGCATGGATGGACCTAGAGACTATCTTACTAAGTGAAGTCAGACAGAGGAAGATGAATACTGTATGATATCACTTTTATCTGGAATCTAAAACAATGATACAAATAAACTTATTCACAAAACAAAACAGACTCACAGACATAGAAAACAAACTGATGGTTACCAAAGGGGAAAGGGGGTGGGGAGGGATAAATTGAGAATCTAGGGTTAACAAATACAAACTACTATATATAAAACAGATAAACAACAAGGGCTACTGTATTGCACAGGGAACTATACACAATATCTTGTAATGACCTATAATGGAAAACAATCTGAAAAAGTATATATATCTATGTATAACTGAATCACTTTGCTGTACACCTGAAACATTAAAAATAACTGAACATCAATATAAATAAATAAACATAAATAAATACAAGTAAATAAAATCGCTCATGTCAATGTCACCACACTACGATCTTGCAGTCAAATGCTAACTTCTCTCTCTGTCTTACTTACCTCTCAGAAGTATTCACATTGTTAATTAGTTCCCCCTTCTTTTTTATGCCACAACACTTTTTAGGCTTCCTATCTACTCCTCAGTCTGATCAGGGAAGCTTCTAGCACTGTGATTAAGGGCGTGGACTTCTAGACTTGAGTCTGAAGACAGGCTGGTTCAGAAGTGCTTACCGTGGAGGACAAACACAGGAAGAGAATGTTTCCCTTTCTTGGGCAAGATAGAAAACTTGATGGAGGTTTAGACTAGAGACTGGAGATGGAGAGAAAAGGATGGATTTTAGCTCTATTTTAGAAGTAGAACCAATAGAATTGGGGACAGATCAGATACAGAAATCCGTAAAGGAATCGAATAAAGGAAAAGGGGAAATCAAGATTTCTTCCTTCAGTAACTGGAAGAATTGTGGAGATATTTATTGAAGTCTTAGAAAGGAAGTTTTGCAATGGAATAAAAAGCTAATGAACATTACCTAGAAAAATAAATCACTGAATCTTAAGAGGTGATCTCATCTGATGCTTTTCCATCGAAATTGAGACCTGGGAGAGGTTATGTGAGTTACCCAAAGTCACCTAGATAATTGGTGGAAGCACTGAAAACAGAACAAGAGTCTCTCAGAATCCTGCTAAGAAGCCACAGATCAGGATTCAGCAAGATGACTATTACTCACAAGCCTGCTGAGTCGTCATCACTTCAGTCTTTTCCCCCCTAACCAATGCAATAAAAAATACCGTAATAAAGCTTGGGAGTTTGTTCAATATATTTAAGCAAGTTAGTAACTGTACACTTTACATTTCCTTAAGAAAAAAGTAAGGAAAGTAAAGGTAGACAGAATATAAATATCAGTGTTAGCTCACAAAAAGAATTAAATCTAGTGTAAAAGTTCATCAAAAACATATGCGAAGTCTATTATCTGTAAAAGGCAAGGTACACATGAATTTCCCCCTCAAGCAATTTACCTTCTAATTTGCAAGATAACACACATATAAATATTTCAGGCCAATAGGAGAGATGTCATAAGGCAGTACTAGAATAATTGCCAAATGTATATATTTTTAAGTACTCTGAGGTAGATCTTTAGGAAAGGTAAGGTTTGAGCTAAGCCTTCAATGAAGACAAGAATTTATAAAGTAGATAAGAAAGTGGATTAAATTGAACAAACCTATAATGCCCACCAGGGTACCAGGCTCAGGGCTGGGGGGGTTGGGAGCGGGATGAGTGAGCTTTTTACGTATGTTCCGCAGAGACATCCTCTTTGGAATGACATTTAAGCTGAGATCTGAATGATACAGAGGAACAAGGAATGTGATGGTGGGAGAAAAGAATATTTGGAGTAGCAAGAATAAGCACAAATAATCACGGCATTACCTGCCTGTATTAGGCTCTATAGACTGAACATACAGAGCTTAGGTGAATGGCAAAAGAGTGGACCATGAATTCCTAAACCTGAATTTAAATAATTTCAAATACTCTTTCTGATCTCAGTTTCAGATAACAAATATAAAATTGTTTTAGAAACAGAAAAGTAATATACCAAAATTGTAAAAGTCAGTTCCAGAAGACAAGAATGGAAAAGTTTTAATATGATTCTTAGATACATAAAGTTAAAGGTGGAGAAATGAGTTGTAATCATTGCTGATCTGTAATCAGCAGATACTTCATACTTTACATAGCTTCACATTTTCTTCTATCACAGTTTTTTGTACATGTTCTATCGTCTTTGCCAGATTGTAAACTCTGCAGATGGTAAGCTGATACAGTACCTGACACAGGATTTTAGTATTAGCTACACTGATATATCAAGCCAGTAATTCATTTTACAGCCATTTAAGGATTTGTGTTTGTATGTGTTCAAGATCCCATCGACTTGCAAATGATTGGAGGAAGTTCATGATATCTCGAAAAGTTAAAAGAAACAAATACAGATGAAAACAGAAGAGAACCCATCTTAAAGATGGAAATAATCCGCAGAGAACTGTGTTATTATTACTGGTGGCCTTTAGCTAACATTCCCTGGCAGCCAAAGAGGGGAATCGGCTGAATCCCAGGGTGGCATTTAATCTACCACACGGTGAGGCACTTACATTCATGGTCAGAGATCAACTTTTCCCTGGACCAAAACCCGCAAAGATCTCTGATCCGGAGCAAGTAACTAACAGGGACACAGAGTAACTATGGAGGGCTCCCTAAATTATTTGGTTCTGTTGCTTTCAAAGCAAGGACCTCTTTTAACAATGGAACCACCGGTGCGTCAACAACAGGATCCTGTTCTCTCCCTAAGGCTCTGGCCCAGGCTTGGCAATCGCAAAAACAGCACCTAGGTCACTTTATGGCCTCAACACAGTGTCAGCGTTAGCTCAGATGCTCCTTAGCAGCCCTGGTTTCAGGCAGAACCGACGCCCCGCACTGGGGGCAGAGCAGCGGCTCGGCCCCAGTCTTCCCAGGCGCGTTCCAGGGCGGGCAGCTATGGGTAGGAATTGTCTAGGTGAGCCGCGGGGCTTCTGCCTAAGAGGTTGGGGGAGGAAAGCAACTCAGTCGCCGGAAACACAACTCCTGGGGGCACGATGCAGCGCCCCTCCAGCCACAGAAACCTCTCCCGCCGAGGAAAACTCAGGAGCGGCAGAGGCAGCTGAAGCCAAGAGAATCCTGTCCTTGTGGATAACAGGGGCTGATGCTGGTCCCCAGGACCAAGGCGCTGCCATCCCACTCCTCAGAGCCCAGAGATCACCCACCTGCAACTGCAGTCTCCGAAGTCTCCACCCCAGTCTCTCTGCCTCCAGAGGCCTGACTGCGATTGGCCTGCACCTCTGTCCCGTCAGCTCTCCTCCAAGTGTGAGTGGCGTAACCATCCCATACGCTGCGGGCCTTTTGTCCCTCCCTCCGCTCCCCGCCGAAGCCACGCCCCACGTGACGGTCACGCGCTGCCGCAGAGCGCAGAGGAGGGGCGCCCTCTCGGCTCCCAGGGGAGGAGGCGGCGGAGTCGGGGGCGGGGACGTGAGGGCTCTCGCTGACGACGCGCCGTTGGCGTAAGCGACGCCCCGCCCCCTCCGCAGGGCGCCGGGAAGAAGTGGGTGGGGCCCCGCCAGCGTCCGCGCCATCAAGCCCCGGTGGCGGCCAGGCTTTCGGTGCATGGTTTTCCGAGTCGAGCG